CCCAAGATCATTCATATTCTTAGTATATTTGCGTGGGTTTATTATTAGTGTTAATTTATATGTAATTACTAATACTCATTAACGACTTCACAGGCAGCCCTCGCTGCGTCAATGTCTAAACTCAGTAGTTGCAGCCCCCGCTGCCTCTACCCATAACCTCTTAACTTCATGCAGCCCCCGCTGCATAACCACGGTGTAGCCGCAGCACTCGCTGCCTATACTTTACAGTTGCAGTCATGCTGCAATCTGCCATTCCATACTAACATCATGTTTTCAGTCTTATTCTAGTTTGTATTTTAGTTTAGAAACTGTAAGCCAGCTAGTTTACACCTGCTTTGTTCTACATTTTGGGGGCGGCACCAGGGACCATCTTTTCAGTCTGTTATGCATTGTCTCACTTTTGTGTACGATGGTCTTGTGGTGTGCCCCCCTATTTGCCAAATAAATTATTGGTTCATGTACATGCTCTTGTGTTTGTGTCATAAATTTCCTAAAGATCAATAATGTATATTTATGAAATGTGTACACACCTCTTTGGCCACTCTTCTCTTCTTAGCTGCGGGTTCATCATGTCCCTCCATGGCAGAGTCTGAAACAGAGATACTCTGGTAATCTTCCAGCTCTGCAGCTTTCTGTTTGGCAAAGTCAATCACCTTCTGTGGAAAGTGCACCATCTCAGCAACATGAATCCCAAAACTCTGGTCACAGACACCTGTAAAAGATGAAGGCGTGTATTAAACTGTGTCTCTAATTTATTGTGTAAAATGTACAAGTAGAGTACACTGGGGTCTATCTTGGCATGTATTTGCAAGGTTTACTGCATCTAAATTACTGTATACTGGACTTAATTTGTTATATACTATGTCCTCATTGGAATTTACTGTGGTTAATTTTTGGTATTGTACTTTATTATTATAGTGGGATTAAATTATCACTGAAAAAAACATTTCGACTGTTTTGTATAGAATTTAAGTTAATAAGTAAAATATAGAAAAAAAGGTATATTCACTGGATTTTATTTTCATTGAAGGAATGATTCAGTGAAAATAAAATTTCAAGTGAAGTTAATGTACTTTACAGTAGATTACTTTAAACCTATGGTATGCTATGCTGAATATAATATACCTTGTGATATATTAGGTTATACATATTACATTTTTTTAAACATGCATATCTCCACAGTGTGATGTAATACAAAACTGATCATAAATGCATACCATGTAGTAGTACTGGTATGATGTCATATACTACCCAAACATTTTCTTATTATACACGCTGCCTAAAGATTGTCCAGAGCTTCAAGGTTTGCATATGGTCCAATAACAATCGATTTTTGTGAGAAACGATTCATGGAGGCAGGCTTACATGATTATTTTTCAAATTATTATACAGCCCCTATAAAAAACTCATTTAAAAGCAAATCCTAGTGAATTACAGCAAATAAAATGTACGCGTTGAATTCAATTTACAGTATTTGATGTGTTTGGTTCCTTTCTATCAACCACCATGGTCGTGGTGATTCATCGTACCTGGTTTGACTTTGTAGAGCAACGTTAGTGTGTCTCCTGTAGTCAGCGCTGATACATGTAAATTATTCACAGTTGGCACCGCATCAGCCAATGATGTCAGCTCATGAAAATGAGTAGCAAATAAACAGAAACACTTAATTTTAGTAGCTATGTACCTGTAAATAAAAATAGAATAATTGTTCACCCATTTTTTATTTTTAAAGTTAAAGTTAATTGCTTATGCTGATGTCATGATACTTACATTACAAGCACTGAATCAATGAAAAGATAATATCCAAATTTAGTTTTCAAAATTGTAAGGATTCCCACAACATCACTATATCAATAAAGTTTCATAAACTACGTCAACAGAGCTTTACATCGCTGGCTGTTCTTAGGCATCAAAGCGGGGGTGTCGACACCTGCGCATACTTCAGATGCCTATAGCGTGTCACTGTTTACAAACTAGCGTCTACCCAAGAGCCTTTGCATTTTTAGCGTGTGCTGTTATCGTCGCTTGGGACTCAATGCGTGCGCAGGTGACGATCCTCCCGCTCCCAGAGAACAATGAAACATGCATAGAAACTTGATTATTAAAGAATGAATTGGCAAGATAACTTACTCTGATATTGCCCATGCTAGTCCAAACCCATCGTATGTAGATGTACCTCTACCAAGTTCATCAATTATTACTAAGGAACACTCAGAAGCAGACTGGATAAAAACAAATCACTGGTAAGTCTTCAATTCTAGTAAAGAATCACTAGATTATATTCAACACTTTGAATGCCATTCTGGTGCAGCCTTTTGAATATTTTCCTATAGTTTTGTATGATTTTTTTTTTAATTTTGAATCAAATTGTCATAATTTCCTACAGGTCAAATTCAAAATTTGAATTTGAAAGTGTTTTTTTGAAAGATAACAAATGTTGACTTTGCCATTTAAAGAATTAAACAAGCTGATTTAGAAGTTAAGTATGGTTACAACTTAAAACAGTTATGGTAATTGCATATAAAAATTCATTACAAAAATCAATATTACTCAATAAACTTGTATGTATATTTTTCTCACCCTTAAAATTGAAGCAGTTTCCAACATTTCAGACATGAATGTGGAGACCCCTTTCAGTTGACTGTCACCGGCTCCTACTCTCGCCAATATACAGTCAACTATTGTCAACTCTGCTTGGTCACATGGTACAAAACAACCAATCTGAGCCATTAAAGTAACCACTCCAATCTGTGGAGGAAAGTAAAATAGAGTGATTTAATGAGTTTCTCATCTACAGTGTTGTTTGCATGGACAGAATGGAATGAATTCTTGGGGGCGGACATTCAGACATTTTCACCACCTGACAATCATCAGAGTGAAAACAAAGGCCCAAAACTCCCAGAAAACTGTACTTTGGGATAGTTGTTAAGACTCTACTAAACAGTGTGACAAGATTACCCCTATATGCGCAACATATTTACATTCTGTTGCTCAGGATTAAGTTGACTGTAGCTTTTTCTACTGGCATTCCGCAACAGCTCTCGCATAGAACAACATGGTACAGTGGTGCGTTCCTTAGTAGCATAGAGCGTTCTGTGATGTAGCTTCGCGTCAAAGGATACACATGTGGCCACAAAAGATGCATCTTGATAACAATATGATAGAATCATGGAATAATTTAGGGAGTTATTTTATTCATACCTGTCTAATATATGTAGATTTCCCACCCATATTTGGGCCTGTGATGATGTGAAACATCTCCTTCTCCTTGTCAAATGTTACATCGTTTGGAATAAATGCCACTTCGTCCTGCACCTCCAGACATGGATGTCTTGACTGGATGAGTTTCAACTGGCCACTTCCCTTTGCTTGCAGTGTTGGACGTATATATGGAATAGGTGCATTCGCAGATACGCAGGCAAAACTGACAGAATTAAATAATTTACATTTCCTTATAGTGAATTTAGAATCGGTACTAACATGCATAGGGGATAGACGTAAAATTACATTCCTTCTCAATCATTTCGGTTTTATTTTTTAAATTACTGACTTTATTTATTTTCAATGAATGTTACAATTTTTTTGACAAAATTAACACTGGTAAATACTTTTACAATTTTATTTTGCAGAAAACAGCATATTAGATCAGATCCACAAAGCATTCTGCCATTTCATAACGTTAAGCCATAGTTTTCTTACACCAATTCGTAAGATTATCGATTGGAAACATTTGGGAATGGCTCATCCTTGAGACAAGGTCAAACGATGCCCAAGAGCTTTCAATTAACACTTTTACCAATTGGTGTAACATAATATAGCTTAACATAATAAAATGAAATGACATATAGAGTTAATTTTTTTTTTTTAACTTATTTGGCATGTGTAATATGTCAAGACAAAAATCTGAGTCATGAAATTTTAAGTAGTTTTCCATAGGGCATGTGTGGCCCAATTGAAAGTGAAATCAAACAGTGATCTACAACACCATTCACATTCTTACCTTACAAGCACATCCAACTGTGCTAAGATTTCATTAATGAGTTGCATTGGATCAACATATCCAGCTGAAAGAAACAAACAAGTTAATGCCACTTTAAACACAAAGATCACAAAGATGATCTATAATGGAATCGAGTCCACAGTTTCTGTGAAAATCAAAAACATTATTTTTTTTTTCTGATGAAAAGTACGCATCATGTATGTACAATAATGCCAAGGATAAATTACTGACCCTATATGTTGCAGCCAAATGAGAAGCGATTATGAAACTTGAAAAACAAATTAAACCAAATCAGTCGGTAAATTCTTTGGTAAACATGAAAGCACATATAAATTTGTTTTTGATAGGAGTGATCAAATCTGCAACTGTCATATTCTTTTTTGGATTTTAAAATGTTTGCAAAGTTTTTGTTTTTTCTGAAATTTTACCTGCTATGCTGATAATCTCCATGACAACTGCTTTTTGGGTCTCATTGTAGGATTCTTTCGCCAGCATGTATTCTTCATTGAATGACTTCAAAGCAGAGTTGGTAAATCGGACGCCATTTTTGTTGGTATCTATGGTGATGTACTTTCTGTTGTTTCTGATCACTTTCTCCTCCTAGTATTGAGAAACAGAAATAAAAGTTAAAGCTCAAAATGTAAGAGTTTTAAAAATTGCAGTATTTATTACATTTATTGGAAAAATGTGTCTTTTTTTCGATTTTAAAGAGAGAAAAACCTGACAAATGTACATTTGCATATATTTTCAGTAAGATTTCAATACTATATTTGATCTATTAGTCGCATATTCATAAATAAATGACAGAGGTGTATCCATAGTCAAAATAACTCAATATTTTATATGATGCATGTAGTACATTGTACATGTAACTGTTAGTTTACATGCACTTCTATTGCACTAATGGAGAAAATATGGTAAGAGACCTTCAAATTAAACATCAGTATTTCTCAAATGTACCATAAACTTCCTTGGCAAAACCGATTTGAATCAAGAAAAAATATCCACTTATATTGTACCAACAATTGTCTTCATTCTTCAACATGAAGTACATGTATCACTGATGCACATTTTTAGTAGGAAGGAAAAGCCTTATGACTGAGAATATAGCTTACCTTTCTAGTTACTCTGAAGAAATAGCCGAGCTGAGAGTTTGACTCCAGTTTTAGAACTTTATTTGCCTCAACATTCAGATCTGTGGATGCTTTTTTCAACTGTGACTTGATTTCATCCTCTAAATCATTGATCTTTTCTCTTAAAGCTGTTGATTATGAATGATTTGGAGATGATCACAAAATCCCAAGACAAACCTACATTTATAGATGCACTTAATATGCAAATTACCGTATAAATTATATTTTCTTTTAACATAGCTCATATGTGGAATAAAATAGGATACAATTTTTTAGGATTTTTTTCATAAATTTCACTTGCTTCTCTGAAATAGGTTTCATGTTATGTGCCAGAAACAAACTGATTGACATTGTGGTGTGCAGTATACTGACAGGGCATTCAGAAACACTCAACATGAATCACATTGCATACAACTACATCTGCACAATCTGGGTCTACTTCAACACCAAGGCTTAATCCTAGAAGATGTTATTTATAGATGCTGAGAATAAGACATACATCCAGAATGTAGGGTATACTGATCTGATCGGACCAGCAGTGACAGGGTTAAGAGGCAGATAGTGATCATAAGAAGGAGGGTTACCTACTTTGTAAATCCGGATCAAAATCTGGTTTGATGACAAATTCATGTTGTTCTACCTGTTTCATATCTAAAGTAGTCTCCACCATTTCTTGATATTTTGAAAAATCCATTAACACTTCCTAAGTATAAAAAAATAATTTGGAGATAGTACACCATGTTTCCATAAAATGCTGACCAGATGGTAAGAAGAACTGCCTCTATTCAATTCTATTCTGCCTCTATTCAAAGAAAATAACTGACAATCCTAAAACGCATTGATGAGGGCAAGGGATACTAGTAAATTAAGACTAAGACGTTTCTGAAGACAATTTGATGAAGAAATCAAAGTTTCACATAGTATAACTGAATAATTTAGCCAAGACTAAAGATTTTATTTGATGTCCTAGGGGAAACGTACAAGCGAACTCACCAAGTATCAAAGCCAGAGGGATAGCAAAGTAGGAATGGTTTGCAACCAATTTAGCCATAGCATTTATACATCGAGTAGTGTATGCAAATACAATAAATGAAATACCAACACTTTGATACTGTTTCTTTATGAACATGTTTTGTCATTATTCTTTTTTTTTTTTTAAATTTTTGTGCCAGGCGACAGTTCAGGACATTGAATGTCACTGTTGTCTCTCCTGACTTTTTTTTTGTATGTGCAAATTGCAATAACTAATGCTGACACACAGTGCATTTTTTTTTCACAGAAGTCATATTCATGTTTGGAACTACATGACAGGGCTGTGCAACAATCTTCCTATCAAATGGCAATTTAATGTGCTATCCTGGCCTCGGTCGAACACAAGCACCTGCAAACCTTAACCAAGGTTCCCCCCAAAGTTGTATTCATTAGTGAATGAATCTCGGTCAGTGGAATTGGCCTTCCCATTGAGTCTGTGGCACACTCACCCAGGGTAGGGGTCGACCCTTTGATGTTCAGCCTAAGGTAGGATTCGAACTTGGGTCTACCGATCATTAGTCTGATGCGACAACCACTGTTACCAGTGACCAGTGTTTTGTCATTATTCTTTCCATGAACTCACCACTTACCTTTAGAGGGTTACTAAACACCTCCATCAAGAGCATCTGGTGTTTGCCTCCATGCCTCTCTAACGTCTCCAGTAAATGCGGCATGTACTCGACAGCTTGATAAACCCGATAACAGTCTTGTAACGTGGCTTTCTTTCTCTGAAACTTTTTAGCAAGTCTTTGAAAGTCAGGAACTCTCTTCAACTGGTCATCTAACAAAGTCTGTCGCAGTTCATTGTCTTCAAATATGGCTTCCACTATGTTTAGTCTTTCTTCTGCAATAAAAACAAATGTTATCACTATTGACCACTTGAGGGCACAATACAGAAATGGCTTTAATTTTACAATAATAACAAATATCACTATTGATCACATGAGGCACTCTACCACTGCATGTGAAACGGCTTTAATTTTGCAATAAAAACAAAAGTTGTTACGAGTGACCACCAGAGGGCACTCCACCACTCTGTATTTCGCAGTAATGAAAGTTCTGTTCACCAATTGAGGATGCTTATCTTACAAATATTTAATTTCACAAGAAAAACAAAAGTTATTACTGTTCACTACTTGAGGGGGCTCTGCTGGATAGACAAATTAGAAACCGGCTTGGACAATATAAGAAACATATATGCATGCCATGACTTGTACCTATTTTATTTTTATCCATGAGGGGTTGTTTCACCCACTGTGCCAGTAACCTCTGACCCTGTGGAGTGCGGCATTTATTCAACAGCCCTAACAAACACATACTTTTGTTACCACCTGTAAGAGAATAGAAAGAAACATTACAAATATGTAACTTCCTTGGACTTCTATACAAATATGGAAATATAATGCACAACATGACAAACATAAAACTCTTAATAGTAGTGCTCACGTAAATTTCTATTTTAATGATTTACTTTACAGCAAATGTGATTTTTGCTTTATATTTGAAATGCGCTGCTTCTAATTGAACAAATACGGTATAGAGACACATTCCTTAATAATGTCTGCATATAGGTGTTGTAGCGTTATTAAATGGCTGTTTCGTGAAAATAACACTTACCGTCAAGTGTACTAGGTAGCAAGTTAAGAGCACGTACTGCAGCAGCGTCCAGCCTCATGTACTGACTCAGGTCAAAGGTTGTGAGTTGAAATTGTCCAAAATTACTCTCGTCACTCAGGAGCTGCAAACAAACATGACCAGCTGATAAGTACCTATTTAATTTTTTGTTTGACAAACAAATTTATTTACATGTAACAGAAAATATTTAGTACAGATTGAAGTTTCAGAAATGTTCAGTAGAACATTTCAATCTATCTGCATGGTGGCTTAATTAGAGTCTTAGTTTTTTTGGAAAAATGTGACTACTGTGAATGGGTAATCTCTGTTTGACAATGGGATCTTATCACCGTGAAACATGTTAAATGCTTCTTCAATTATCAATTTATCCCCTGAAAATCACAATTTCCGGATCCTTTTAAAAAATAAAATTGCATCTTTTTCATAAAAATCAATGCTGAAAGATACACTGCAACATCTATAAATAACTGTGTTGAATATTGACATCAATATTCCTAATATTGCATTTAGGCAATAATAGATTGAAATAGTGATTACAAAAAATGTGCCAAAAGATCACCCTGGGCAATAATGTTTTAGAGCCAGTGGAAAAATACAGTAATATAGCAAAGAAGAAATCAGAACAAAGTTACCAAACCAAGCCAATCCCTCATCTAAGCCGAGACAAACCCAGTCCTAGTCAAGAGATGGAAGAAGCAAACATCAAAATAACTCCCTACTGATTTAATCTATATTATGCAAGCATAAAATGTACATGTAGATCCTACCTCTAAATATTTGATCAGAGCAGACAGCGATGACATTGCATGGGTTTTCTCCATCTCAGCTAGAGGAGAAATTATACAATCTTACAAAACATTATCCAGGAATATTAATAACACTTTTAAACTTGAACTCAATGAGATATTAGACATTAGTCACTAATAGCAACATATAGTGCAAAATATGTTAATGAACTTAATGAAATTCACTAGTAGGACTACTTACTCAAAATAGTGGTTGCTGATTGGCTGTCATCACATCATGTGATTGTAAATTTAAAGTGATTATAGATAACGCTATACTGTAAAGGGGTTAATTATTCACTGGGTTTTAATTTGGCTTAATTCGCTGACTGGAAAATGCGCTAAATTAAAACCCAGTGAATATGTAAAATTTAGCATAGAACACATTGTCTAAATGATAAAACCGTGAATTAAAAACCCACTGAATATGCCTGAAATGGTAAATCAGTGAAATTTAAACCCAGTGAATATGTAAAATTTAGCATAGAACACATTATCTAAATGACGAAACCGTGAATTTTACAGTATTTGACTGCATGGCATCAACATGTCATGTAACAGGGCTCGAAATTAACAAAATTTGGCAGTGCAATATGGGGAACACATAAATCTTACGATATAGAAACAGTACATCATAAATTTTGTGAATTTGTTTTAGGGGTACACCCAAAGGCCACAAACTCTGCTGTGAGGGGGGAGTTGGGAAGACATTTAATTAGAACACATGTGAACAAAGAAATAATTCGGCATTGGTTAAAATGTATAGGTGGTGATTCCTCTGTTTTAGTAAAAGAATGTTATGGCTATCAATATGACAGGGTACAAAGGGGATTTAATTGTTGGGCAACATGTGTTAAGGATTTGTTATGTAATTTTGGTTTTGCACACGTATGGGAAAGCCAGTATGTGAATAACCCAAATTGTTTTCTGCTACAGTTTAACCAACGGTGTCTAGATATTTCCCAGCAACAGTGGTATGATCAGATTGGTAATAGTTCAAAATTATGCACTTATTCTAAATTTAAACAATTATTAGCCGGGGAAAAATATCTGGATTCTATTACTATAAGTGTTTTTAGAAAATGTCTCGCTTGTTTTAGAATATCTGCTCATGAGCTCATGATTGAAAAGGGTAGGGCATTGGGAATACCACTTGACCAAAGATTGTGTCCTCTTGGTTGTAATCACATTGAAAATGCGTTCCACTTTCTATTACAATGCCCCAAATTT